ATGATCAAGGGTGAAATGAAAACGTAAGGACAATTTGTTATGAGATCAAGGACCCGTCGATATGGATGCACCGAGGTATTCGATGAGGAAGCCCAAGCCCAAGTATCAATAGTTTTGTTGTTTATACTGTTTTCCTTTTGGGAGTTGGTTACATTGTTCTTTTGGTATTCATATAAGTTGTAGTTGTAAATAGATGGTTTATGAACGAGAAGAGATAAGTTGAAAACCCCAAACACTGTTTTTATTGTTGCTTTAGTTTAACTGCATCTTTCTTTACTTAGTTTTAGCTTGGATCTACGACCAAATATCGTAACACAGTTAACGCTATACTAGGAAAATTTTATCAATAGCATATATGAAACATATTTATAAACCTAGAAACTGACCATGCACTTGAACCACATTTGATTATAAGCGCATTCAAATTGGAGAAATTCAAGTAGAAATGCATCTTGACATGACACCTTCATTTGGGGTAATCGGTTAATCAGTTATTGGTTTAACCAATGACACGAGCGATCTTGTGATAAATAAAAAAATAGGGTGTTTTTTTATAACTTATATTTAGCCATATATTTTCTTTTTCGAAATAAGATACTATTAATAATTACTATTATCTTCATTCAAATTTTATAAGAGAACAGCCCTTGAGAATTCTTGGATGCTCCATTATGCACATACTTCTAGTTTATGGCATATGCATTATAATTAAGCATATTGCTTTCTAATACTCAGCTACTTTTTTATCCTAGGCCAATAAATAAAATTTTTAAGTGCGTATTCCTCATATTTCTTATGCCTCTTCCAGGCTCCAGCTGATAGACTGCCTGGACTCATTTACATTACCACTTTTTATTGATTCCATTAGTGTTCTTTTATCCTTTTTAAAGACTTAACTAGAGAGGAACACAATCAAGTCACATGTCCCACTAGTAAAGTCAATCTTTTCTTTTTCCTTTTTGGTAGAAGAAAATAGGGGTGTTCAAACGGTTTGGTTACCGTGGTAACGTTTTAACCGGTACTATTTGGATAATTTGGTTTGGTTAATTTGGATAATTGGTTTGCTTTGGTTAAAGTTTTTAGCTTGTTTGGTTTAGGTGGTTTGGTTTGGTTTCATACACTCCTAACCAGTCAAACCAAATTAACCAGTTGAGTAATTAGTCATATATCTAACATATATTTTATACACATAATACTTTGCATAACCACTCAAGAGTTAACGTTCATCCCTTTTAGACTCATAAAATATAAAGCTCAATATTGCTCATATAGTGTATATTTGTATATGTAAAGCCTATACCACAACATATGGACGCCTAATTTAGATAAATTTCATACATTATGATGAATGAAAACTTGAAAGGAAGGTCATTTCCAGCCTATGATAATTGCTAAGATACTAAGTCAATTTACACAAACTCAAAAATTCATTAACCCATACAATTGTCATAATTTTTTGTTAGGTGAATACTTCTATACTAATCGTAAGATAATTGTCTTAGTTGCATGTATTTTTGTTAAGGGTCAACTATAACTACGTGTTGATTGTTATGTTTTATTCATTATATAAATTGCGAATTGTTGCATTAACCGGAAAATTTTCATCGTCAATGATAATGTGATTTTATATTGGTTAATCTGGTTAACCAATTAACCAAACCGATTAAACTTTAGTTTGGTTAATTTGGTTGTTGTATTAGTTTGGACGGTTTGGTTATGATATTGTATTCCATGGTTAATGGAATTTAGCCTTATTTGGTTTGGTTGTAACCATGGTAACCATTTGAATACCCCTAGAAGAAAAGGTTGATGAATTTACAATTTCCATGAAGGTAATAAGTGTTGTAGATATAAGTTGAATTAGTATCATAATAATAAACGTGTAAGTTCAGTTTATACTATAAATATTATACGAAAAAATATAACTACAAACTTAAATAAGATACTTTATAAAATTAAAATCAGGATCCAAGGTCGGAGAGCTCGAGCCCCGGTGCTTGGTCCGGAAAGGCGTCGGTGGGTTGATACCACTAAGTCAATCCTTAATTCCTTATTATTAATTCTTTTTAATCTTAGGGCTTGTTTGCTTGATGAATTTTGGTCAATGATGGACTTGTAAATAGGTGGGAATTGATCATGGACTTTGAAATCCATCATTTTTTACCAACCTATCCTCATATTTTCTTTCTCTTCCTATATCATTGAGGACTATAAAGGTAAGCTTCACTTCATACATAGAAATTTAATTAACAAAATCTATAATGAAATCCATGAAACAAACAATGATGTTTTTCAAATCCATAATGAATCCAAAACCCTCATACATCCATGATTTTTCAAAATCCAAATATTACCAAAATTTTCATTTTCAAATTCACGAAGTAAACGACACCTTAATTCAATGGTTGTGGCCTTTAATGGGTGATAAATTTTTCTTGAATTTTAGTAATTTCGGAGGGCAAAGATACTGAATTTGGAGGCGATTTTGTTAGTTATTCCTTGGATTTTCTCATTTTTTTCACTTGTTCCTTTATTTTTTGCTATCAGAATTTCTTCGCCTAAGTATTCTTTTGCTGCTCCTCATTTCCTAATTTTGCGGCATATTTTACATGTTAATTTCATTAGTTATTTCCTAATTTTAGGCAGTGAATACATCATTCTCATATTTAATTATAGTAGTTACGATCAAAGGTAAAATAGCCTAACAGTAAAGCTGCCGCGACAGTGAAGGTTTGAGAGTTGCAGTTCCCAAGTTCGAATCCAAGGGAGGCCCGTTGGTGTTCTCGGAGGTACAAGGATGCTGAGGGCGAAGCCCCGTTAGCGTCGAATTTGATTGCAGGTGGCTCCCTGATTCAGTAGGACCCGCTGCACAAAGTGGCACGTGGGACTTTCACTAGTATGCACGTTACTTACAGTAGAAATTTTATTACAATTAAGTAGTGAAGCTTAGTAAGTTTACATCATTGGTGTTTGTGGAAACACGAGGTTCGAGGATCAACATTCATGCTACCTTCAACAACAGTAACCTTCAATATGGGGTTAAACATAGACTTCTCATCAAATATCATATTTCTGCTGAGTATATGGCGTTGACCGAAGCTGCTAAGGAGGGAATATGGTTGAAGGAACTAGGGCTAGCTATTTGGTCCGGACTACTTGGTTTTACCCGAAACCGGACTGGTACCGGATAGCAAACAATCCAATCTCATATTCGGGTTTAGATTTAAGGTAAAAACCCCGGATAAAGACCGGATAAGAGACCCCAACACCTAAAATCAAGATCAAATTTGGACGGGACCGGGTCAAGACTGGACCAAATCAAGACCGGACTGTATCCAATCCAATCTTTGGTCCTTATATTCCTGAAAAGATCGGATTGGGACCGGGTCAATTTGGTCCAATTTAACCGGACCAGGACCGTATAGCCACCCCTAGAAGGAACTGGTTAGTGATCTGGGTCTACATCATGATCAGACAGTAGTGTATTGCGACAGTTTGAGTGCAATACGCTTGGCCAAGGATCAAGTCAACCATGAGAGGACTAAGCACATCGATGTGAGGTATCATTTCTTGAGGGCAGAGAAGAGAATTAAGGTGAAGAAGGTTGGCACCGCGGATAATCCTGCTGATATGTTCACGAAGCCGGTTCCACATGGCAAGTTACAACACTGCTTGGACTTGCTGAATGTCTTGAGTGGGTGACTCCGCCCTACGGGGCATTGATGGCGGGAGAGAGAGAAGGAGCAGAGTACATTAGATATTTCATAGGAAGAGGATTCAAGTCAAGGCGGAGATTTTTTTATGTGACTTGAATCGGGTTCTGAGCCTGGTATGTAATCGTTTCCTTTGCCATATTGGATTAGGTTTAGACCCACATGAAGAAGTACTATAAATACTTATCATGCTCCTCTGTAATCTGTAATCTCCTCGATAAAGTGAAACTGGCTCTCTCTCGACCGTGGACTAGCTAAAACACATCGTGTTAGGGAACCACGTAAATCGTGTGTCGTGTTTTCGATTCTCGTTTTCGTATTCTTGCTTTGTCGATTCCAGCAATTTTCCGATCCATAGCATCGCGTTTATAACACTATCATTAGAAACAACGAAGAAAAATTTGTTTTCTTCGCTTTTTTTCTCGTTGTCTGCTGATAAGGACGTCCATATACTAATCCATAATGAATTGTTAATCGATTCCCTTCTTTGATTGTATGGATTTTCATATCTCGAGCAAATATTTGTTCTTTTTTGTCCAACTTGAACAAGATGTTTGCTCTAACAGCCTAGCCCTATCCTCGACCTCTCTTTAATCCAATTTGTAAGGCCCACCCAACATGTTACATGTACGTTTCTAGTTTGCAGGGCTCGTTTTATTGTAGCCTTCCTTGATGCAAAAACGTACGACGTTTTATTTGGTATTATTTTGCATGTTCTATTGATCATTCCAATTTTGTTCATACTAAATCCAAGGAAGTAAGCATAAGTTTTTATAGAACTAGATTTTTATCGGCGATTAGCCATATCTAAGTTGCTTCCACAATTGTACATTACTTGGGCAAGCATTATTTATTTGAGGAATTTTACAATACTATATAGTATTGGTGTTATAAGTTTTTGTCTTTATGGTACAACTTGAAATTGTACCTTTAACGTTATGGTACAATTTCAACTTGTACCTATACGTTTTGTACAAATTCTTGGGTTAATACCTTATTATGGCCTGAACTATGACCATGTAATCAACTTTGGCCCCGTGGTTTGATAAATAACATCCTGGTCCGAACTATGCAGCATATAGACAGAATTGGCCTAGAGCGTGGTTTGACCATTTGTTTGAACGATCAACACCGTTGACCATTAGTCAACTGTCCAGGTCACTGCCATGTCGGCACAAAAAAATTATAATTTCAATTTTCTTTTTATTTCCTTTACAAAATTGAATAATAAAGAAAAAAATTAAAAAAATAATAAAACAATAACTTTTTGCCACCCATCCCCACCTTATCCCCTCACCTTCTTTCTTTTTCAATCAAACCCAAAAAAAAACCTATCTTCCATTATTCTTCTTCCTCCTTCTTCCCCGACGAGCTGCCGCCTCCATATCCCAAAAGAAAACAGATCCCTTCTTCCCCGGCGACCCGCCGCCTCCATATCCTTGACGGAAAACAACTCCCTTCTTCCCCGACGACTCATCGCCTCCATATTCCAAACGAAATCGAGCTCCCTTCTTCCTTTCTATCCAAAAACGGCTTGATACCCCTTTCGCGCTCTCTTCTTTCTTTCTACCAGGCCCATCTCGAGCTCTCTTCAGACCCCACTGTGCAATAATGTCCAGGCGAGTTGGGAAAATTGCCACCAAAGCTTCATCCTCTTCTGGTTCGTCAAGCACGAAGCCCATAAGATGCAACTTCCAAAGAGCCCCTGCGTTGTCAACACTTCTCTAACAGACGACAATCCTGGAAGATTGTTTTATTCTTGCCCGTATTGGAATGATGAAGAGAAGAACTGCCGGTTTTTTCGCTGGGTTGATGCAGTCACAGAGAGTGACTTTATGCTTGGTGGACTTATGGAAGAGAATGAGAAGCTAAAGTCGACATTGGAGGCATTTGAAGGACAACTTGGTAGGGCAGAAGAGAAGGCAAAGAAGAGGAAACAGGAGAAGTTGGCAATGCTTGAAGACTTGACGAAGGTGACAGAGATCAATTCAACTAGTTTTGGTGAATTGCAAAGTATGCGAAATGCGATTTGTGCGCTACAAAATCGGCTAACCGTCTGTGTAATCATTGTAGTTATATTTCTTTTTGTTTTGGAGATTTGTCCAATTGTAAGCTTGTTGTCTAATTTGTGTAATTTCCGATGAAATCAAAGAACTGCTCCATTATGATACCTTATTTCCTTCCTATTATCATGTTCTTTCATTGAAGCTTTCATTGAAGCATAACTGGGACAAACATATACAAGTTCATTCATTCATAAACATAATATGTTTGATCATTCAAACATGTCCGGAACATTTACAAAAGAGGCAATACCTAAGTTTAGGACAAGGTTCATTTCCAGAACATTTACAAAAGGGGCACTACCTTAGTTTAGGACAAGGCGTGCCTTATTTTAGGACAAGGTTCATTTCCAGACCATGTACAAAAGGGGGATCCTAACTTTGGACCTACTTTACATATTTCTTCCTACACTCCAACGAATCACAATGATCCGTAACATGCACATAGCACGCACAAAACAGGAGTCTTATCTACTTCCTAACATAGCATCTTCTGACTTCCTAAGGCGACTCTGGTTGAGTAGTGGGAGGCTGTGTGGTATTGACAGGAGGCAGGTCTGGTTCTGTTGCTCGTACACCACCAGGTGGTGGCACTCTGTGACTAAGCTGCAAAATAGTAGGATCTTCATATTAGGAATAGAGTTCACAACAAACACTACTCTGTCACTAAGCTGCAAAATTCTGTTACATACCCTTGCATACATGTTTCCAGTGTCCATGTCAATGTAGGTTCCAATACCTTGCATCGCCCTTCTCATTTCAGGATCAGTTACCCTTTTACTACACAAACCAACATGGGGGGCCTACACGTTCATACACATTCAGTGATTTCATTCTTTCATTCATTCCATTCATTCATTCATAATTAAAAGATGGTTACCTGAATCTCTACAAGTAGTGTACAACATCTTGCATTATGGTGCTCTGATCTACACTTGATGCAACGACCCTTCTTCTTTTCTCGTGGCTGCAGTAAAATGTTACATTAATAAATATTCATAACAAATAACTAATAAGTTTTAAAAGGATCCTCTTCGAGTTAACTGATTCTCCCTTCCAGCGTCTTGGTTTGATTGAGGAACAGGTGCCATAGGAGTCGGGCGTGCTTGCTTCTTCTTCTTAGGAGATGCAGTCTTAGGGGCAGCAGGCTCATTCTTACATGTCCTCTAATTGTGGCCTTCTCCACCACAATTCCCACAATGAACCGAGATGTTCTCCCTACTAGCAACCTCCCCAATTCCATTTTTAGCTTGCTTGCTTCGGATCTCCCAAGCCTCCCTTCGACGTTTTGTCTTTGGAAGACCAGGCATGTGCCTAATCCGAGGAGGGTACACCTTGTTCCCAAACACGGGCATCCATGCTTGTCGGCCTTCCGATGCTGGAATGGGAAACTTGTATGCCATTTTGACAAACTCCATCTTGAAGAAACCATCAACATAAAGGTCCGGATGTCCTCACATGCTTCTGATGGATGCAAAAGCATGACTTCAAGGAATACCATTTAGTGCCCACCAACCGCACGTACATGTCAAGTTCTTCAAGTCAACCACGAAGGCCTTGTTCTCGACAGAAACTCATGCATCGTCTCAGATGAAGGACGACTAGTACACATTCTCGCTTCATGCTTTGACTTCTCCAGTTTCCCTCTGACCACCGGAGGGAAAGTGTCATTCCATCGCATCATCTTCCTTCGGTTCTTCACTAGTCGAGTCATAACAGACACTTGAATTCCCTCCAACATTGCAATCGGTCTGAGAGACCTGAATCGCAATATCCAGTTATTGAATGACTCGCATATGTTGCTCTCCATCGAACCATGGCCTTTCATTCAAACCATGGCATCCGTCCAATCAGAGTTATTGAGAGAGTAGACAGCTTCCCAAAACAAATCAGTAGCTGCTGCCGTCTTGTGCTTCTCCCGAAAGTGAGCATGAACATGGCCAGCACATTTCCGGTGTTCCGCATTTGTCAAGCAGGCATGTAGAGCCTCTACAAGCCCCTGTGTTAAATTGACAAAGTTAGGAAACCATGTGATTTAAATGTAGGTATGCAAATAATCATAAGCAGTAAACTAGTTACCTTATGTTGGTCTGAGACAATAGTATACCCACTACCGTCAGCTGTCCCAAGTTGGTTTTGCAACGCATTTATGAACCAAATCCAAGAGGATTTATTCTCTGACTTCACTATTGCCCATGCAATTGGGAACATGTGGTTATTCCCATCCTTACCAACTGCAGACAGAAGCATTCCTTGAACCTCCCCCTTTAAGAAACAACCATCAAGGCAGAAGAAGGGTCTACATCCTGCCATGAATCCTTTGCTCAAACTGGAGAAGCCAATATAGAGTCTCTTGAAGAACACCTTGTCACAACCCGGATCTACATCCACCTCGAGAAGGAAGGAACCTTGCGGGTCAACTTTCAAAAGATGTCATTGGCGACATTATCTTGTTCACCAATGTTGCCTCTAACATGAGCAGACTCCTCTGATCCCCTATACTCAATTTTCATTGATCCCCCACTATTTGCATCATCTTCACCAGCTTCAGATGGTTGATTGCATCCCCCACTTCCACTCACATTCTGCCCCGATTCTCACTACCCACATTATGCTCCTCATCCTCCTCCCATACCACTTGATCCACCTCCTCACCCGACTCTTGATTCTGAGCTCTATAATTCTGCCTCCTGTTTCGAACCTTCTGCCTGATTTCATGGTACTCTTCATCAGATGTTTGGGCATCATCCTCTTCCTCTACTCGCACAAATTCAGGTACAGCCGAGTTTTCACCATCCTCATCAGAACCATCGTGTTCATGGCCGTAGTTGTCACCCATAAATCCATCATCACCCAAGTCTTTGGTTGCTTCAAAGTAGACCCTCAACTGTCCTTTACCTACACATGGGAGTAATCCATTCATAACCTCCGCATCTGAATGAATTTCGTGCAATCCACTGGCCATACTTTTACCCGGAGTCAAGTACCAAAGCCTTTCCACGGAGACATACTCTAAATCTTCAATTAGAGTCTTTGTTAACTCGAAATAGGACAATACATCGACAACCATGTTCACCACAGCTTTATCACCTCCAACGTACTTTGGAACAGCCCCTGTCATATACATAAATCCTCCATGGCATAAAATGAGCTCAATTGGGTCTTCCATGGTGCACATAAATAAATCGAAAACACACTTTTCTAAGCAAACTTCAGTAAGCCGACAAAGACAAATCGCTAAATTCACTAAGCCGATAAAGACAAATCAACTATTATTGTTTAATGTCCACTATGCATCAATCCACATATGACCAAAACCGATTTCTTGGACGTATTCAGAATATTATTATGAGGGATAGTGATTGCTTACCTTAGCTGAATAACAACAAGATTTTGTCGAAGTGGTCCCTTGCTACAGTTGTCCCTGGAACCTCACTTTCTTCGCCTTTTACAGAAAATAGCGATGGGTGGGGAAGGTTTGGCCTACAAAGAAATGGACAGAGCGCAATGGGTAGGGAAGGCTTGGTCTTGGTCTAGACAGAAATCGATGGTGGGGAATTTTGCTGTCGACGAGAGAACAGTGGAGATTCGAGCGCGCGAGGAACGAGTGAGGGTTTTGGGTAGGGATTCGAGCGTGCGACGACGACGGCGTCGTCTTTAAATGATCGGCCGCCACTGCATTTGAATCGGAGAGAATGGAGGCGGCGGGTTGTCGGGGAAGAAGGAGGAAGAAGAATAATGGTTAGGGTTTTTTGGGTTCTGATCGAAAAGGAAAGAAGGTGAGGGGATAAGGTGGGGATGGGTGCCCGTGTTTAGGTTCTGATGAAAGCGTTTTCAAACGACCGGCCGCCGCTGCATTTGAAGTCGGAGAGAATGGAGGCGGCGGGTTATCGGGGAAGAAGATGGAAGATAGGGTTTTTTTGTTTGATCGAAAAGGAAAGAAGGTGAGGGGATAAGGTGGGGAAGGGTGGCCAAAAGTTATCGTTTTATTTTATTTTTTTTCTTTATTATTCAATTTTGTAAAGGAAATAAAAAGAAAAATGAAATTATATTTTTTTGTGCTGACATGGCAGTGACCTGGACAGTTGACTAACAGTCAACGGTGTTGACCGTCCAAACAAACGGTCAAACCACGATCCAGGTGTACGTGGGCACCGGGCCGTGCCGCCCACAGGTTAGCACGTCACGGCATGGTTAGAGCACGACACGAGCACGTGCACGAAATAAATGGGCCAGCTCGGCACGAGCACGAATAATTTATGGGCCGTGCCGGGCCTAAACTTCATGGGCACGGACACGGCACAGTATATAAGTGGGTCGTGGCGGACCTAATATTTTCGAGACTTTATTGAGTATAAGAACAGACATGACACGAAAATAAACACGAATATGAGCATGGCATGAGCACGAATAGGCACGACACGATTCGAACCGTGCCCGGGCATGGGCCGGGCGTAGCAAAGTTAACAAATGGGCTTGCATGGCACGACACGAAATAAATGGGCTCGAAGCGTGCCCGTGCCGTGCCGGCTCAAGCACGGCCCAGCGCCCATGTACAGCTCCAGGCCAATTCTGTCTATATGCTGCTTAGTTCGGGCCAAAGTTGATTACATGGTCATAGTTCAGGCCATAATAAGGTATTAAGCCCAAATTCTTTTATAGTACAACTTAAATTTGTATATATATGTGATGGTACAACTTCAAGTTGTAAAGTTGTATCTTAACATAATTGTACAAATTTCATTATAGTACAACCTAAACTTATACTTTTAATGTTATGGTACAACTTCAAGTTGTACATTAAGGAACCAATACTATATAGAAAGGGCTGATTTTTATCTGCATCATTACATAGTACGATATCAAAATCCACACAGAAATATCTCAAGCCACCAGAAATGGAGTCTCCCAACCCAACAAACAAAGTGGCATCACGGTTTATTGTAATCGAGAATAGAGTAGACAGTTTGTATGGTAGTAGCAGCAAGCACCCAAGCCGCAACGAACAACGACACGATCGTCCAAATGTTCTTCAGATACACACTCTTGAAATGGGCTTTCGACTTCTGCCACCTTCCCTTGCTGTAACCATTCACCTGCTCGCACAACCCATCGTAGTAGAACTCCCTGAACACAATCTGCTTGCACATCTCATTGAACAAATTCGACACGTAACCCGAATCCCCCAATTCGTTCTCGATTACCCCTGCCTTCTCCAGTATCTGAACATCCTCTTTCGTATCAATCAGCCGATCCATCAGCATTACGTACGACGTCACGAACTGCCTGCTCGCGTGGGAGAACTGCTCGTAGGCCATGAGATTTCTCAGCAACGAATCCGTCGAGTCGTGAACTGTTAATGGCGGGATTCTGAATTTCCCGTCATTGAACTCCATCTCGAACAGATGCTTGGCTGTTACTTTCCTGAACTTTATCCCGACTGTCTTGAGTTCTTTGGCGGATTGGATTAGAACCCACGGCTTTTCCTTCTTCTTCTTCCCCCTTTCCCCTCTTCCTCTGACCAAATCGGGCGCTGCCAATCGTTCCAGATCTCGACTCGATTCTTCTCTGAGATTCAGCCTAGGAGATGGGCAGAAGTAAGATTTGTAAGTTAGATCGAGCAGATGGTGGCAGCTCCAAGTAGTGCTTCCGCCGATTGGGCTCGATTTTTCGTCCAGATTCAGAGCAGATTTGAAGAAAAGCAGAGCGAGTTCAGGCAGGGGAGGCATGGACGGCCCAATTGCGCTTCTTTTGACGGTAATCATGAACAGCATCTCGAGGACGAAGAAAGGGATCTGATTCTCAAGCAGCAGAAGATCTCGCTGGAGGGTCAGAATCATCCAGGAGCTCGTGAAGATCGGGTCGTGCTGAAGCCGGAGATCGACATTGAAGTACCTGACGAAGAGCTCGATGATGAAGAGGGAGTCGACGATTAGGACCTCGGCGAGCTGGGTTTGGTTGAGATCGATCTTCTCGGCGTAGTAGGCGCGGATGGTAGAGTCGAAGCGGCGGAGGAAATCGGCGCAGGCGGCGAGGGTGGCTGTGGATTTGGTGGCTGGGGTGCGGGAGAGGAGGGAAGTGGCGTAGTGGAGCTTGTGGTGTGCCATGGGCTTGACGTTGTCGGCGGCGTGGTGGAAGGGCCCAATTGAGATGACCTGTGGGCTGTAGGCGTCTTTCTTCACGCTCTGGAGCTTGCGGGGGACTCTGCAGATTCGCCAGTTTGAGGATGGTGGGAGTGAGTCCTGCAGTTTTCGGTCCAGAGAAGTTAGCCAGGTTTCTACCGGGATTTCGACCTGAGCCGAGACCGGCGGCACTTCAGCTCCGGCCATTGGGGATGAGAAACTTGATGGGCAATTCGAGGGTTTTAATGGACTGGGTGTTGGAACTGTAAACTGCTACTGCGGGTTTCTGTACCTACTCGCCGTCGGCACTGCACAATGGGAAGATTAAGAGGATGATCCATAATTCAAGTGGAAACCGCAACATAAAGTAAGCTGATACAACTCATTCCACGTCTAAAAAAGAAGAAAGGAAAAGAGAACCAAAGAGACTCCACATTCTACAATATAGCATGTGTGTGGGTTAATTTACTAATATTTATTACTTTTATAATTAACCATTAACTAGGTGGTGATTCCGCGTCTTGTCGCGGGCGGAGATGGCCTATGGGTAGAGGTGTTCAAATGGTTACCGTGGTAATAACCAAACCAATTATGCTTAAATTTTATTAATCATGAAATAAAATGTCCTAACCAAACCGTCCAAATTAACACGAAAATCAAATTAACCAAACCAAAGTTTAATTGGTTTGGTTAATCGGATTAACCAAATAACATAACATTGCATGAAAACAAATATAAACTATTATTTTATATAAGCAATAATAATAAGACTAACCATCTATAATTATCATCATCATTCGAGTTAATACATCATTCATCATCTATGCACCTAATATAGGTAGCTTACAACAAACCCTTTAACATAAATACATACCAAACCACTCATCAGGAAGTTAAAGCTCTCCTACAAAATACTAAAACTATACATAGTTTGAGGTGGCTGTCATGGTATTGTATATAATCCTAAAGTATAGTATTTGTCTAAAATGTTTTGGTTTAGTAAATATAGGCATGCCCATTTAATTTTTGATCGATAATGTTTTGGTTTGTTGTGCATATGGAAATAAATAGGGAATCACGAAAGTTTGGTTTGGTTGGTTGCATGGAAGTAGAAATAATTGTGTATATTAGGTGTGCCATTAATTGGTTTCATTGGTTAGCAGTGTAGAAACCAAACCAAATAAGCTAACTTGTTTAACCAAACCAAACCAATTATCAAAATTAATCAAACCAAATTAACCGACTGTTACCGGTTTATATGGTTACCACGGTAACCAACCCGTTTGAACACCCCCTACCTATAGGCATGTATTATGTGGCCCGTTATGATGTTTTGTTAGTATTATTAGCCTAAAATTAATTTTTTGTTAGCAGTTTTGTTAGTAATATTGACTTGACAATATGATATTGACTGAGAAGATATATATATGGTAAACGTCCAATTTAAAAAAAAAAATTGGTTAATAAATGATATTTACATAAAGCCAAGTACACCCATTGATTATGGGTAGGGTATGACTAGTGTATATATGGGTTTAGAAGTTTGCAGATGGGTTCAATTATTAATTCTCTAGACTGTTGTTGAATCGTGTATGGATCCGTTCATACTTGTGATTAGAATACATAAAAATAGTATACTAATTAGGGTTATGGAATGCGAGTGAAAAATAAAACGAAGAGGAAGTAGACGATGGAAAGGTTTTGACCAATTTTTTAGTTGGCCGTCAATAGAACAGTCAACCCTTTTCACCATAGCAATTTATTGACACTTGCTTATGTAGATGTCGCATATTTTGTTACATGTAGTTAGTAGAAGTTTCTTTAGTACCTTGTAAATGTACTAAATGAGTTTATAAATTCGCTCTTGCAATATTTTAGAGTCATCTCTCTTTTATCATTTATATAATGTTCCATGTAATGAGCAAATATAAAATGGTTGAATATTCTCCGACAGCTGAGTGATACAACATCTTGTATGATACAAACTAAGTTTATACTTTTATGTTATGGTGGATTGGATTCATGGATTGGTTCAAAAGGATTAGTGGATCCGCATTCATGGTTCAAGTGATATCTAAACATTGTACTAATATGTAAATTTAAAAGAAAATGTAGGTACGAAAATCTCATAAAATTTGGATACCAAAACATAATTGTTCAATAATTTTACACTAAAATTAAATTTGAGGTATCAAAATGTAAAATTTACATTATAATGATTAAATTGTAATTTAATAATATTTGAGGTATCAAATGATATTTTTTTAGCCAACAAAAACTAAACTTCAGGGTTATATATAAGAATACTTATTTACAAGGAATTAACTTTGTAGTTATTATAAGACTCTTGTTTCGTTGAAAAATAGTAAAATTGCATTGGAAGTTATGCCTGGAAAGTTAATGATAGAGTATTTTGTTTTGAAATAATGATTTAATTGTATTTCAATCGTATCATACGTATGGTTAAAATTCGTATGTCAATTTAAGTTATGAGTTTTTTTTTTCAAATGGACACCAATGATATAATTTCACAAACACTTGTTTCATCTCCAATCAACAAGGATTATATGAGTGACTGCACACAGACATGATGATCAGAGGTAGGGAAAATGAAGGATAATTTGATTCCTTAAAATGAAGGAAATGTTCATATGTGACAATTATACGAATATAAGAAAGTGATGGTGAATCAACAACGTTATTTAACTAAGAAATTACCTTGGATTAAGTATCACTTCACAAGTAGCTAAACAGTAAACACGTAAGTGCTATGTAGTGTTCAATAGTGTATTTTTTGTTCAAATTACCTTTGGGTCAAAGGGTGATTTTGTTCTTCTTGCTTTAGCAAGAACATGACAATTATGGAAATTCAACACCTCTACAATCATATGAATATCGATGATACTCTTTGATTTTAAAACATTTGAGTTCATCCAAATTATATTAAATTCTAACAGTTTACACAATAATACAGCTATCTCACTGTATTGTTTAATGTAATATTTTAGGCGAATTCCATGTCGTCAAAACATTTGAAAGATCAAAGATTCATAAGTAAGAACTTTGAAGTTAAACGTGTTCATTGTGAAGTGCAAAGATGGATGACCTTATAGAAAATCACCTTTAATATGTATTCTAATACAAAAACAGTGAGGGTCTAGATAGAAAACAGACGGTATCTTAATGAAAAACTCAAAAAAAAGTTAGTTACATTTTAAAGTACAAGAAATTCCTAAACCAAATACAGTATCATTTTTTACAATAAGAAAATCGACTAAGCTGACAGACAAAGGCAGGCTTGGATTGGGCTTCAGATGTGGCCTTCAAACCACGTTAATTGTGTGGCCTGGTTGAATAATTGGCCCATCCGTTCACATTATAGGTTTTTTTTGAATGTTCTGTTTAGTCCAGAACTTACGTGGATATCGGACCGTGCCGCTCACGGGCTAGCATGGTTAGAGCTCGGACACGAAATAAATGGTTCAGCCCGGCACGAGTACGAATAATTTATGGGCCGTGCCGGGCCTAAACTTCATGGGTACGGGCACGAGCACGGGCACGGCATGGTATATATGTGGGCTGTGTCGGGCTTAATAAATTCGAGACTTTATTGAGTATAAGAACGAACATGGCACGAAAATATATTTATTTGATAAAATATAAATATAAAAGGAATTATAGGTTCAAATATTACAAAACACAAGTAGAAAAATAATTATTTTTTGTTGTTAGAAGTGTTGTAAAGATAAAGATATATACGTAATTACTAACATAAGTAAAAATGGACAAAGAATTAAACAAAACCAAATCACACTCGCTATACTTCCTATACTTCCAATTTTCTTTTCCCCCTGATTTGTTACTTTTCTCAAACATTATCGGTTAATACTATCTTCCTCCGTCCAATTTTCACCTTCTTTTTCATTCTCTCTTTTATTTTCGTCCTTTTCATTAAACACGAACACGAGCATGGCACGAGCACGAATAAGCATGGCACGATTCGGACGGTGCCCGGGCCTGGATCGGGCCTAGCAAAGTTAACAAATGGGCTTGCATGGCACGACACGAAATAAATGGGCCCGAAGCGTGCCCGTGTCGTGCCGGCCAAGCACGTGCCAGCGCCCATGTACAGTCCAGAATCAAACTAAATACAGGAACAGGACCAAAACCTTATCGTTATAGGGTCACTCACCTTAGCGGCTGAGCCCATCCATCCTTGTTGGCATTCTTTATTTTTTCTGAGAAAGATATGTTACGACTTACAAGGTCCTACTAGAGGGGTGAGGAAGGAAAGAAGTGTCGTCTCGGGAATTCAAATTTGTAGCCTCTAGGATTGAAAATCGAAGGTTGCATCATTGGCATTCTTGTTGCCATTCTGGTAGGGTGAAAATCAGTACGATATTGGTATCCCAATATCAAAGATCTAAATCTTGAATACTAATATTTCATTAAACTCAATCCCAATCTCAAAATTACTTTGATATCTCAATCTCTAAAATTTTGGTCGGTATCGATATATACCAAATACCAAATTAATTTCATTCAAAATTACAAATCGAATATACACACACAAATAATAGCTCCACAAACATCTCAAAATATATAAAAAGAAACAGTGGTGTGGTGCTAACACTCGTATAAAATATAAACGAAAAATATTATATAATAACAACACACTTGTTTCGCTGTGGAAACTTTCGCGATGTTGTTAGATCGGATACACTTCAAACTTCTGAAATCAAGACGACTGTTACTCTATTCTCGCCTCTCTGAACAATGTCTGACCGAGAGTGTTTGAGTCTTTGGGGAATCTTTGTTAAAACTACTTCAATGGAGAAACATGTGGAGAGCTCCGAGACTACGCTACGACTATGAAGATCCTTTCTGGAATGAGAGCTCCACGAAGGAGTTATAGAGAAAAAGATAAATTTGGAACATAGTTGTTTTCTGTGTTGATTTTTTGTTGTCCCTCTCTCTCCATGCTCGGATGATTTTATCTAAAATCATCTTCGTATTCGTCACGCCAACTCCTCCTCTTCACAACTGCTCCATCCACATGCTCCATCCTTCTCCATAAAGTTGTGGTCTTCAACCGCTATGATATCTACATGCAAGAAAATACCTTCGTAGCAATGTTGCTCACGCCTCCACCAACAAAGTTGTCAAAATGATGTCGATCTTTCACAATGACACATGGTTGAAACGCCGTAGATCTGGGGGATGGAGCAATCGTGTGGTTGGGCTGGACGCGGGGGTGGGGAGGGACATTTTTGTCCGTTTTTTATTTTAATTTTTTTTTATTTATTCTGCATTTCAATGGCTGGCTTTTCAATGAAAGAGAGAGAATGATATTTTCTCTACAACTCCACTTTCTTCCTTCTCTCTTCCTTTTTCCCAATCTCTTTCTCTATTCCTTCTCTCTTACTTTTTCTCTCACAATCTCCTTTTCAAATCTATATCCGCTCTCTTCCTTCTTCATTTTTTTTTCTTTAGCAATCGATGAATAAAAATTGAAGTCACCCTCTTTTATTGCGCTTCTTCTCTTCATCAACTCGTTGGCTTTAATTTCGATCTTTTTCCTTATTTTGGCGTTTGGTGTTCTTTGGTTGCGGATGAAATGAGATGAGACAGAAGACAAGTTTTTTTTCTCTCCCTCATTTTGGTTTTTTTCCCCTTTCTTTTAGGTAATATATATTGGTACCACACTATACCATATGGTATTGTGTGGTAACGAAATATATATTGGTATTACCACTCTATACCATATGGTATTGGGTGGTAACGAAATATATATTGATATTACCACACTATACCATATGGTATTGGGTGGTAACAAAATATATATTGATATTACCACACTATACCATATGGTATTGGGTGGTAACGAAATATATATTCATGTGGAAAAAAATTTCATACCATATGGTATGCTCTTATTTAATACCAGTCAATACCATATGGTACAGTCATTACCATATGTGTAACATATGGTATAGACTGGTAATAACTGACAAATTTTTTGTGTCCAAAAAATATCAAAGTGGATATCATTTTTTTCTCTAGCAATCGACGAATAAAAATTGAAGTCACCATCTTTTATTGCATTTCTTCTCTTCATCAACTCGTTGGCTTTAATTTCGATCTTTCTCCTTTTTTTGGCGTTTGTTGTTCTTTGGTTGCGGATGAAATGAGATGAGACAGAAGAATTTTTTTTTCTCTCCCTCCTTTTGTTTTTTTCCCCTTTCTTTTAGGTAATATATATTGGTATTACCACTCTATACCATATGGTATTGGGTGGTAACGAAATATATATTGATATTACCACACTATACCATATGGTATTGAGTGGTAACGAAATATATATTAATATTACCACACTATACCATATGGTATTGGGTGGTAACGAAATATATATTCATGTGGCAAAAATTTTCATACCATATGGTATGCTCTTATTTAATACTAGTCAATACCATATGGTACAGTCATTACCATATGTGTAACATATGGTATAGACTGGTAATAATTGACAAAATTTTTTGTGTCCAAAAAATATCAAAGTGGATATCATTTTGAAGAGCACAATTAATCTGATCTAATTGTGCAAAAAAAAATTGACTTAAAACGAGCGAGAAATCATGTGTAACATATGGTATAGACTGGTAATAACTGACAAAATTTTTTGTGTCCAAAAAATATCAAAGTGGGCATCATTTTGAAGAGCACAATTAATCTGATCTAATTGTGCAAAAAAAAAAATTTGACTTAAAACGAGCGAGAAATCTTCCGTGAAAGATTAAGGGAATGAAAATTAAATATTTTGCGAGGAGAGAGAAGGAGGCGCTGATGTGGTCCGGTCAAAAGTTAGGGTCAGTAATAAATAGGAGTAAGTGCGATTTTACCGTACTGCCCTTTCACATTTAATTTAAATAAAAAAGTGACTGACACGTGGGGACCAGGGAAGGGGGTTACTGACCCATCAGTTACTTACCCGATCTGGACCCGGCTGAAACACCTTGTGGCCAAACCATCAACGTAGAGGCCAAGTAATCCTGCCACGTCTTTGCCTAAACAACATTCATGTGACGCGTTGTTTTCCTTGAAGCTTTGTTCATTAGTGAGAAGCGATTCGCGGTTCAAAAAAAAAAATGTCATGACGATACTACCTAGGCAAAACAACATCATTGCTTAACCCCATGACCTCGTTGAACTCGGAGGGTCGCCAACCTCGCAACACCGCTCAACTGGTTGGATGACATTGCTTCATCGCAACTTTGTCAAATTCATCACCATTATGACTCACTCTGCGACATCATTGGCTTTGCGACATAGTTTAGCTCGTAGCATTATTGAATTCGCGATATCATTTAGCTTCGCGACGTTTTGAGGTCAAATAATATCGCGAGGTTAATGATGTCGCGAGCTAAACAACATCGCAATATGTTGCGATGCCGTGAGTTTAGCAACGTTGCGAGTTTGACAACGTCAGAGTATAACCATCTTGGTGGTTGATGGTATGGTAGTAGTGAGCGTCAGAGTATGTGTGAGAGGGATAAACTACACACTATTTTAGTTTTGGTATTGATCGGTATTTCGATATATATACCGATCTCAATCCCGTAATTCCTAATAACACTTGAATTTCAGTCTCAATGTCCAAAAAATTATAGGTACATTCAATAATAACAAATATCAACAAATTCAGTACGATATTCGATAATATCCAAAATACCGGTACTAAACTTCAACCCTAACATCATTAGTCTCAAACAATTATCACAATGAACAAACATCACAATATTGATAATCCAGTCGTCCTTCCCTCGAAACAATTACAGAGAATTAAAAGCAGCCAAGCAAAGCCAAAAAAAAATTACATTTACTAGATAGAATTCATTCATCTCAAAACCAAAACTTCGAAGTTTTGATTTACAGATTCAATCAGCGGAGAAAAGCTTCTTCTGGAGAGCAGATCGAAGCTGCTCTTTGGCCTTGTCAACCAGCAACAGCCCTTCCTGCAGCCTTATCACCCCTTGCCGGCTCTTGTCGCTGATCTCACCAATCTCCTTCAACACCGACTCCGAGCCGTACAGCGTCTTCAAGAAATCGATCGTGTCGGCGATCTCCACCCCTACCGTGCTCTTGCCCTCCATCTCCGTCAGCTCCCTCAGCCGGTTCAGTAACATCGGCACCCACCTCCCCTTGAACTCCTTCTTCTCCTCCGCCGTACCGCAGAGCTCGTGTTCCCTACGCGCCGCCGCCACAAGGTCCAGGTGGCAGCCCGATTCTTCCCGAAACCAAATTCAAAAAACGTAAATAAAAAAATATTGCCTCTGGAAGAACTACTACTCTAAACCCCCAATTGATTGAATTGACTTTTGCAGGGATCGAAAACTCACCGGAGAAGAAAGCAGAGATAGATTTGGGAGAGCCGATTGGGGAGAGCCCCGTGGACGGCCGCCGGCTGTGCCGGATGTGGTGGTCTGGGATCCGGTGTATGGGGATGCTGACAGAGACGAAGGCGGAAGGAGAAGATGGGGCCGGCTCGTCGTCGAGATCCAGTATGCTGTCGTCGGGATGGCGGTGAAGGTGGTGGTGGTTGGAGGAAGGCGGCGGGTGGCCGGTGGATTTGGAGAGGGCGTACTCGAAGAAGGAATTGCGCTGCTGAGCTGATTCGGAAGGAGATGATTTCGTCGTTCCCGATCTCTCCATGGCTTTTTCTTCCTCTGTGTGTGGAATTTTGGCCTTGCGCGTCGATTTTATTTTCTTTTTTGGGTTTGGACTTTGCAACGCTATCTCCGGGGAAATGAAGTCGCTGCTGCCATTTATTGGACGTTCCTTCGGGCTGACGCCGTGAGCAGAGGGAGGGATCGATCTGTAATTTTCTGCGAAGTTGGAAATAAAAGGGAAAACAACCTTGTGGGCGCCGTTGGTCTGCTCTGCCGCCGTGGTTGTGTGGTGTGTGCCTTCAGTTTTGGTGGCGTTTTTGTTCGAGATTTTTATAAGCCCTTTTTTATCAAAGATTTTTAATTTGATGATTATTATTACAATTCAATGCAAGTCAAGTCAAACATTGCACAATTAGATAGTAGATTCATCATTAATCTCTGAAACCCCTATCATAACAACAGTGACTTACAGTTAATTTGCAGAGAATGGTGGATTGCTTCCGATAAAGGTCGATCACTTCTGATCAACATACAAACTTTCATGGTAATGAGTCGACGGAATGAACTTACGCTTTTATATTTGTAAGTCACCAAAATGTTTCACTACAACAAACTGCCTCTTCTGTGAGGAATATTTCAGTGACAAGGTCGATTTCATCACATAACGTTGAGAAATGTGAATAGTTTGTAAAAACTAAAGAAAAGTCAAAGTGAAGTTAATTCCGATGATTCTCCATATTAAAGGAAATGTTTGCTCAAGCAGAATTAATTAACCGAATTAACGGAAAGTTCCAATCAATTGGATTGATTTTCCATATTGAAAGAATCTTTCATGATCATATCAATTACCCACACTAACGGAAAGTTTTAATCAGTCGAATTGATTTCTGGTATTCAAGAAAACTTTTATCAATCTGGTTAATTGTCTGTATTAAATGAAGGTATAATCAGAAGTTATTACTTTTGATTTCCTTCCTTAAGATGATTATGAATCATCCACCAAGAGGGAAAGTCTGAATGTCTCATCCTATATAAATAGATGAGTTGCCTAACCCTAAAGATATTGAGAAAAAATGAAGAGAGTGAGACTTAAAGTGCTCCGGTTTGCACAAGTTGAGAGAAAAACAAAGAGTGGTTGTTTTTATCCTGGAGGCGGCCGACTAATAGTCTGTCGTGCGCATTAAGAGGCAGTTTCGCAAACGTCTTAAAGAAAGCGACCTAGTCCACGACTCAGCCAAATTCGGTAACCATTGTTTCAATTGTTCGATTCCTAACAATTGTAAGACGATCTGCTGTTGCTATGGCTACCGAACAGAACATGCCCGGATTTGGCACTGTCGATATTAATCGACCCTTTCACTTCCTCAGAGTCAACTTCCGCCGCTGGGGATAGAAGATGTTGTTCTACTTGACAACCAAGAAGTTGGCACATTCTCTCACCAACATGCCGGTGGAAATGACCGAAGAAGCAACTGATGCAGAAAGGGTTGCTGCTGCAAAGGTGAAAGAGGAGGATTCTTGTGCAAGAACTACATCCTTCATGGGCTAGTTGAGGATCTCTACGACTATTACGCGGATCAGAACAACACCTCAATGATGGTTTGGGATGCTCTCCAAAATAAGTATGACACTGAGGAGGCTGGAGCTAAGAAGTATGTTGTCAGCTCCTACCTCCGCTACCAGATGGTGGACGACAAGTCTATTGAGCTTCTATCACACGAGCTTCAGAAAATAGCTCATGAGTTCGTTTCTGAAGGTATGCCTATGGACAATCAGTTTCAAGTTGCTTGCATAATAGATAAGTTTCCCCCTTCGTGGAAAGATTTTAAGAATGCTCTTAGGCATAAAACTAAAGAATTTTCACTAAAAATTTTGATAACTCGCCTAAGGGTAGAGGAAGATGGTCGTAAACAAGATATGAATGAAGAATTACTAGTTCTCAGTACTAGACGATCCACTCCTAGAGCTCTGAAACCCAACCCTAAGGGTTTCAAGAATCAGAGCCAGAAGGTCCACCCCAATCAGAATGGTGCCCCTCAAGGTAGCAAGAAGATCGTGGCCCAACCCTCTAACAATGACACTCTATTTTCTGCTATAATTGCGGGAAACCAGGTCATATGGCATGAAAGGGCAGAAACAAGTCTAACATTGTTGCTAGTGTTAAATTGACCGAGGAGGACTTGGTGGCCATGATCACATATATGATAGCGAAAGTTAACCTCATTGGTAACACATAAGGATGGTGACTAGATACTGGAGCCTCAAAACACGTATGCAATAATCGTGTTATGTTCAAGACATACAATGAGGCACCTGTTGATAAGAAAATGTTGTTGGGGACTACCCACACCACTATAGTTGCTAGTTCTGGGGATATGGAGCTGAACTTTACTTCTGGAAAGACGATGATTCTGAAAGATATCTTGCACACTCCAGAGATAAGGAAGAATCTTGTTTCGATCTATCTTCTTAATAAGGCTGGGTGGGTTTACTCAAACTATTGGGGCTGACTTGTATACTCTTACTAAGAATGGAAACTTTGTGGGAAAGGGTTATGCTTGTGATGTGATGTTTAAGTTGAATGTTGAAGGCAATAAGGTGAATTCTTCTATTTACATGTTGTGTGGTTTTAATGTTTGGCATGCTCGTCTTTATGATGTGAACACATGAATCATGAAGAATCTGAGCAACTTAGGACACATCCCTAAACCCTTAGTGGATGAATTTGATAAATGTGATTTATGTAGTCAAGCTAAGATAACGAAAAACGCCCCATAAATCTATGGTTAGAGAATCAGAACCCCTAAATCTGATTCATTATGATATTTGTGAACTTGATGGGACATTAACTAGGAATGGCAAGAGATACTTTATCACATTCATAGCATGGTCCATGAAACCGTACCGGGTATCTTACCAGAAAAGTCAACGGTATGATATTTTATGATAAAACCGTGGTTTTACCGTAGTTGAAACGTTAGACCGTTAAATACCGCATACCGATTTAGCCTCCGATACTGATATTTCGTGGTTGAACCGTCGGTACGGTACGATTTCATGGACCACGATTCATAGATGATTGCTCTGATTATCCTATTGTTTATTTGATAAAAACAAAATTGATACCCTTGATATGTTTAAGGTATTTGTGATTGAATTAGAAAATCAGTGCAATAGAAAAACAAAGGACATAGGAGTGATAGAGAATCAGAGTATGACTCTAATCCCTTCAATGAATTCTATAGCTCACATGGTATCATTCATGAAACCACGACACCATATTCACCATAAATGAATGGTAAAACTGAGCGAAAAATAGGACGTTTACAAAATTAGTTTTGGCTATTATGCTCAATTTTGGAGCTGCTGCTTCTTGGTGGGGTGATATTTTGTTGGCTGTTTGCTATGTTCTTAATCATCTTCCAAAAACAAACAGAAAAGAGTCACCCTACGAGATCTTGAAGAATAAGACACCTAATATGTCCTATTTAAGAACGTGGGGTTGTTTGGCCTACGTAAGAATTCTGGATCCTAAGAGTGTTAAGTTGGCTAGTCGAGCATATGAATGTGTCTTCATTGGCTATGCTGCAACTAGTAAGGCATATAGATTTTATGATTTGAATGCTTGTACTATTAATAGAATCCATTGATGTTGATTTCTTTGAGATGCGATTTCCATTTAAACCAAAAAATAGTGGGGGTAATGTACTACCTGGTATTAGAGATAACGGAACTAGAATCTCCAAAGATTTTGGTGATGACTTTACTACAGTATACACCCTCGAATATCCTAAAAGTTTGCACGAAGCGTTAACTTCCATAAATGCAGATTTTTGGAATGAGGTCGTTAGAGATGAAATGGATTCGTTGGAAGAAAATAAGACTTGGCATCTTACAGATTACCTCCTGGCTGCAAAGTCTTAGGTAATAAATGGGTTCTAAAACGAAACGGAGACTTGATGGTGCAATTGAAAGGTTACGAGCTCTCCTAGTAGTTAAAGGATATGGACAGAGAGAATGTAGATTTCTTCGATATCTACTCACCTGTATCTAGAATAACATCCATTTGTCTCATGTTTGCTCTTTCTTCCTTGAACAATCTCGTGGTACATCAAATAGATGTTAAAACCGTGTTTTTGAATGGTGATTTGGATGAAGAAATCTATATGGAGCAACCTGAAGGGTTTGTTATTCCTAAACATGCCTCAAAAGTCTGTAAGTTAAACAAATTATTGTATGGTTTGAAACAGGATCCAAAATAGTGACATGAGAAGTTTGACAATCTAGTTCTCTCGAATGGCTTTAAGGTGAATGAAAGTGAAAGTGTATTTACTACAAATTAGAGAATAACACTCGCACTATCATATGTTTGTATGTAGATGACATGTTGATATTTGATACAAATATTCACGTGGTCAATGAAGCAAAAGGCATGTTGAGAGAGAACTTTGAGGTCAAAGATCTGGGTGAAGTTAATTTTATGCTTGGAATCCAGATAACTAGAACAACAAATTGTTATTCTCTAGATCAATCTAGCTACATAGAGAAGATCTTTAAGAAATATAATTATTTCGATTGTAAACCTGCGTGTACTTCGTATGATGCTAGTGTAAAGCTATTCAAGAACACTAGAGACAGTGTAAGACAATTTGAATATGCTAGCATCATTGGCAGTCTCCGTTATGCGGCGGATTACACTCGACCAGACATTGCATATGTCGTGGGATTGCTTGGCAGGTTTAATAGTTGTCCTAGTAGAGAGCATTGGAATGCAATAGAGAGGGTCATGAGATACGACAAGAGAACAACAAACCTTGATATACACTATCAAAGGTTTCCTGCTCTATCAGACAACTCCAAGGCAACCAGTGGTTATATTTTTAACATCGCTGGAGGAGCTGTGTCTTGCAAGTGTTAGAAACAATCAATCCTAGCTCAATAAACTATGGAATCAGAGATGATAGCACTAGCAACGGCTAGTGAAGAAGCAAGTTGGCTGAGAGGATTATCGTCGGAGATTCCCATGTGGGAAAGGCCAGTCCCTCCAGTATTGATCCATTGTGATAGCATCGCAGTTATCCCTAAAGTCGAGAACCGGTTTTACAACGGAAAGAGATGTCAGATTCATCGTAAGCACATTACTGTAATTGACTCGCTCCTAATATCACAATTAATTCCCTCCTAAGTTCCAAGCATAAACCTTAGTAGGGAAAGTATGTTTAAATATCAACTCGGGAAGGTCCGTGGAAACATTATCTAGCAAATCGGTTTTGGTTGAAAAGTTTGCTAATTAAAGTAGAACAAGGCA